TTGTCAGCCTCTTTACCAGCCTGCTTGTGTTTGTTCCCAAGGAAAGATGTTATGGATATGTTATTTCCTTTTTTAAGAAAAAAGAAACAATACTATTTTCAGAGAATTGTGAGACTTTTACTTTCCTACCCTCAAGCTTGATCCTAGTTGATCTCAGTAATATGTCTCTAGGCTTGACCACAGCAAAAAGAACATGACCATTACTGTCATTCTCCTCTAGGGAGAGTTTGTCTGCCTTGTTCTGCACTTTGTCTGCAAAAGGCTTTGGCTTAGTCACATCCCAACATAGCAGTAGGAGCAGCTAGGTAGCTGATTTCCTCCAGTTCCCACTGGAGATTTTTGTTTGTATATTGTGCATTTGTTTGTTTTCTGAACTTCTGTTGAGTTCCAGCTGTGGGTGAACCCACATATCTACTGAAGAACCAATAGCTTTCCATATTATTTAAGATCAACATAATGCATCTTATATTTCCTATGTTTTTACTTGGCTGGCCACTTCTCCACAGAAGTATACACAGTGTGTACTTCACAGAAGTACAGTATGTAGGCCTCAGTAGAGTATACAAGTTTAATGATTTCTTCCCAATACATTTTTTTTGCACAAGTCCCCAGTGACTGTGACCTACCACTGAACTGCTAGTTGTGCCATGTCTGTCAAACAGCTCTGGAGTAATTGTTTATGGCTAAATAACTAGCTATACAGCAGATTATTTAAAATTAATAATACTGGACTCCATCTTGACTTGTACATTGTATGTTCAGGTTCAGCTGAGTGGCAACACAAGCAACTTACCAGGTGCACTGGTCTAAAGAGAGCAGACAAAACCAGTTATAGAGAGACTGGAGAGAACATGAGATATGGAGTCTGCTGGTTTTGGCTGGGATAAAGTTAATTTTCTTCATAGTAACTAGTATAGGGCTATGTTTTGGATTTGTGCCAAAACCAGTGCTGATAACACAAGGATGTTTTTAATACTGCTGAGCAGTGCTTACACAGAGTCAAGGCCTTTTCTGCCTCTCACCCCACCCCACCACCAAAGAGGGTAAGAGTGCACAAGAAGCTGGGAGGGGACACAGCCAGGACAGCTGATCCCAACTGACCAAAGGGATATTTCACACCATATGACGTCATACTCAGCAATAAAAGTTGTGGGTAAAGAAGGAGGAAGAGGGGGGAACATTTGGAGATGGGGCATTTTCCTTTCCAAGTAACAGTTACACATGATGAAGCCCTGCTTTCCTGGAGATGGCTGAACACCTGCTGACCTGCTGATGGGAAGTAATGAATGAATGAATTTCTTGGTTTGCTTTGCTTGTGTGCAATGGCTTTTGTTTTAGCTGTGAAACTGTCTTTATCTCAAAACACAAATTGTCTCACTCTTACCCTGCCAATGCTCTCCCCCATCCCAACCGGGAAGGACTGAGCAAGTGGCTGTGTGGTGCTTATTTCCCAGATGGGGTTAAACCACAACAGGCAGTACTCAAGAGAAAAATATTCAAAAGAGATCAATAAATAGAGTTTGTAAAATGGTAGTCATTTGGATCAGTCTTAATAGTAAAGATGAGGAACAGTAAGGTTGTGTTTCTAACTAGGGCAGAACTGTCCTGCATTTTAAGGGAAAAACATCCTATCTTTTTCAAGGTTGTCTGCTTTCGAAGTAAAACCCCAGGCACCTTAGAGAAATTGTGTGCATCTGAATGTTGGCTTCAAAACTCCACGAAGACAAATGGGAATGAAAATGTCCAGGCTAATCAATAGTAGAGTAAAACCAGTCATTGTCCACAGAGCCAGCAGGGGTAACTGGTGGGGTTACTCTGGCCTCCACAGTCCCTGGGATCTAGTAGGCAGGCCACCCACTCTGTTTTCCTTGAGATTGTTTGGGAAAAGGGTCTCTTTGTCCCTGCCTTGGTTGACAGGCAACCACACAACCTAAATTGAAAGTGTACCTGTATCTTCCTTATGGGAGGGAAGTGGGGAGCCCATCAGAGGCTGCTCTGAGATCATGTGGGTATGATGCTTTTAAAACATGGAAACCAGCCAATCACAGAGCAATATGAAGACACGTGGGGTGTGAGCCAAGAGTCATGTCCCTGGGTCAGCAGGATGAGGCAGGAGTTAGAGCTCTGCCTGTAGTACACAGGCTCCATGCAGACCTCACCATGAGGTCATTTGTTGTCAAGTGCACAGATGGGATGTTCTGCGTTGTGTCTCTGGGTCATGTCCTTAGGTATCACAGTTCAAGAGAGAGGAGAAATAAAATCGGAAAACTTTAGAAATACCTCCCAAAATCAATTTACAGTAAAAACCAGAAACACCAGCTCAAGAAGTCTGCTAATCTCAAATTCAGTGATCTTGAGAAAAAGACAAGGCACATTTTAATTTTATTTTTAACATCAAAATGGATTCTAGGTCCACCATGCTTGAGCTCATTGCTGAAGTACATGTTTATTTGATAGCATAATCTCATTCTGACTGCATTATGGTGTACACCTTTAAGCATGTGCCATGCAAAAGGCATGTTCCTTGAGTCATTTTTGCCCTGTACAACTTCTCTCATCTTATGGGATGTATAGCCAATACTCTGGTCATTGACTCACTCTGTCTTGTGCTAATCGCTTCACTGACTCACACCTAAATTCCAGGCAGTGTATGTGGCTTATTTTCACCTGTATGAGCATGCAGTCCACATCCAGGTGTGTTCCCAGGGTTGCAGAAGTAAGCACTCATAGCCTGGGAAAAGCCTAAAGCTGTATTGTGGTTACAGTATTGGGCCAGTGCAGGAAAGGTTTAGCCCCGGGCATATCCATGGTTTACACTGGTATAAAAGTTAACATATCCAAGAAAGAATGTGTTTGTAATTGTACAATCATAGACTGTTTCTCAAAGGGAATTAAATCTGCAATTTAATATCCCATTTATGTTGGTATAAGGGTGTGTTTTGCTGATTAAGGATACCCATTAAACTCAGACACCAGAGTGAAAAGACCAGGCGTATTTTACTAGAAATAACTAAATAACATTACAGACTAATACAGAAAACATACAGTAAGAAAAGTCAGAATAGTGCACTTAAATAGGAAAATACAGGGTAATGCATCAAACCATTACTACACAAGAGAGAGAATAGTGATTAAGAAAGACACATCCCCACTTGCACACGTTCCCATCACCCAGCCCCGCAGTGGCTGGGCAGCCCCGGTTACAGCGAGGGTTTGGGGAGCCTGTCCCGGCAAGGGGGAAATCCTACGCGGTGCGTCCCCCATAGGTGAGGCTGACAAAGTCCCTGCAAACGGGCCCAGCCTTATATACCAGAGATCGACAAACCAGAATAGCTGGTACCTTTGTTTTAAGTGGAAATATCTGGTTTCAATCTCACATTATGTTTCCCCCAGAGCCTGGCCAGGCCTCAAGGGAGAAGCTAAGGGAGTTTCTCTGCTTATCTGATGGGATTATGCACAAGGTCTCACATCAGGTCTCGGGGACAGACACCTGCCTCCATGACTCTGTTGTTCTATTCACATACAAAGGAAGGGAAAGATAAATTCAAGGTAACTACATCCTCCATGCATATTTCATCAAGGATTACATTCTGAGTTATTAAAACAGTTTCAGTTCAGGGCCTGTTGCTCAGGCTTCAGCACTTCCACCTTTTACATCAGAATAGGTGATTTATTATAACTTAGTATAATACCTGTTAGCACAATGGTTATCAGTTATGAAATATACAGGATTCATCTATAGGTCAACTCTGGCTTGGGCTTACTGTCCAAGCCTTAGCACTTCATGGCGGCATGTGCAGTACACAATGGTGGGTCTAGTTGGCTATGATCATACCAAGGAAAGACAAAGTAATTCCCTCTGGAATTTTTTTTCCCCTTTTTGGTAGGTGGTATGAAGGTGTACATTTGTTCTTAAACCTAAGCTTGCTCGTGACATGTATGCAGTTGCAAAGATGGTTGACAAAATTGTTTTAGACTAGACTTTTCCTGTGGTAAGAACAGCAGATCTCCTCAAAGGAAATAGGCCAGCCTCTTGATTCTGGTAGCCGTGTTGCTGTTCTCTTCATGTCTGAGGTTATGCACATTGTTTCCCAGCTGTGCTGAAAAGCAATAGAGCTACTGCAAGGTGCATAGCAGTGTGGGAGGATGCTGTAAAAGATCAGTTACTTCAGAGAAAAGAATAATTGCAGAATGAGCGTAGACAACAGTGCAGAATGAAGGGAAGGAAGTATGGGCAGTAACTTTCCAGGAACAGGAGTTACTGAACAGCCCAGTAAATTTTTGCCAGGAGGAGGAGACTCTAAACCTGTAAAAAATGTTAGAGGGATGCAGCAGTGAGCACAGAAGTGAGAGTGGGAAGGTGCCTGAGAACCTAGGAGTAAAATGAGTAGGAAGAGGAAAAAAAGAGAATTGGAAAAGTAGAAGTGAAAGAAAGGAGGTAAGGACAAAACCTTTAAGACTGAAACATGATTTATATTAGGATCCTTTTTGTGTAGAGAGCATAAGCCCACAGAAAGATGTTTCACAGGCTATTGGTCTCTCGCAACTTGGCATGACTACAGTATGTTCCTAGCATGAGCCCAGTTTGCAGCAAAATGAAAGAAAAGATTGAGGGACAGGAAATGGAACTGGAGGAATAAAAACTAGAAATAAACTCAACAGTGCTTAAGTACGTCAAGAAAGTCAGCGGTGGAATGGTTGATAACAGCAACTGGAATAAAGCATGACATAGTGGAAGAGAGCAAAAAGAGATGTAAATAATTTGGATACAAACCATTTGGGCACTGCTGTGTGTACAGTGTAACTATGTTCTTGCTGCACTGAGATCTGGAAGCATTTTGCAGAGGGATAAAATTGTCTGCTTTGGGATGGAATACCCTGTTCTATTTTCACTTCATAGACTACAAACACAGATACTTTGAGTATTGTATTGTGGGTACTTTGATTATAGTATGTTAAAATGAAAATAGAGCTTTGCTTGTTTTCTTTTTTCCTTGAAGACAATGGCAGTTTATCCAATCTCACTGTTATATCATCCACACAGTCTGCAGCAACATCTACAGTAGGTATCTATCTGTCCATTCTATGAACTTAGAAGCTAGCTCCAAATCTACCCCAGATCATACCAAATTCTAAAGAAATACCCATCAAAAGTGGGTGTTTGAGAGAGGCTTTATCATTTTAGGGTTGTCAGGCAACATTTAAAGCAACTCTGAAGTGAAGCTATACTGTTTTTCAAGTCAGGTAGTGTGCTTCATCCGTAGAAGCAATGACATTTGCAGTGCCATTGAAAAACAGCAACCAAAATAACACTTAAAGGAAGAATTGAAATAATTTGGTCTTTTTAATGTTCATTCTTTGTCTTTAAGCAAACTTCTTCCATTTTCATGGAGTAAAGATGAATAGGTTGTTGTGCAAACAGTGCATAACTGTTTAATGTTATTTCACAATAAATAGATTTAGGGTATAATTAAGCCCTGTGGGCTTGAGTTTCAAGAGTAAGTCTCCATTTCCTTTTAGGTAAGACTCATGGCATCTTATACCACAGAAAAATAGTCCTTATAGAGCTCATAGCACACAACAGTGGAGTTCAAGTGAGACATGGGAGGCAGAGCTGGGACAATCTGTCATGGGTAATTGTCAGGGAAGGCAGTTGGTCTGCCAATAACCTGATTGAAGAAGAGTTTGATCTTGACAAGATTTTAGTGTACCCTTGAGATAAGGAAGCTATGCTTAAAGCAAATAACTTTCAAAGAGCTGCTGACTACACAGAAGGATGAAGCAAGCAGGGAGGAAACTGATAAAGGTTATCCAATGAGAATGTTAAAAACAACTTTTTGACCAATTATATTCTAACACTCTGGCACCTGTAATATATAACAATTCATGCTTTCAGTAATAAAAAAAAACAGCCAGTTATTCACCCATGTGAGTGTGTGTGTGTGTGTGTGTCACTTTGTCTGTCTCTACAGCAACAGGTACTTTTGCATTGTTCTAGCAGTACCATCTGTCATTCACAACTTGGCAAAAGAACTGTAGGTAAGAATGATTTTCCAAGGCAGCCATTGCAGTTGTGATGCTCCAACATAAGTAACGTGTTTACAAAACACATCTTTGTAGAAAGAAGAAATAACTGTATTAGATCAGCTACTGGAGTTTGAAAGCAGATATTTAACCTGGGATACAAACAGTTCATCCACTTGTATTTGCAGTGTTCCAACTTGGCTATGTCAATGTGAGATTATTAAAAAAGGAAATAAAAAAAAAGATTTCTGGAAGAAATTACACAGGCATATTTCACCACATCAGTAAAGACTGGCTAAGAATGTCATGCAGTTGTTCAGTCTATGATGCACAGATAAAAGGTTGTATGTGAGAGAAAAGAAGCTAGTTCCATGCATAAACTGGATTCCATTTGTGCCAAGAGCTATGTGAAGGCAGGGTGGAAATATTGCACCTACCCTAAGATACTTTGTGGTTTTGTGGATTTTTATGCTGATCATAAGGTCCCAGCCATGTCATTCCATTTCCAGTACAATTCTCACTTTGTGTTTCTGTAGTCTCCAGATAACCTCTGAGCTACCACACTCAGAAGCTGCTTGTTATTCATTTAAGAATATAAAATACTCACTAGGAAAAAAAAAAAATTCTGCAAAGATCTCCCTTTTGATAGCAAGGAAGTGGTGCAGTGTCTCATTCCATTACCTGCAGTGTTACAGTTTAAGCGTGTCTAACTTGGAAAGTGGAGAGATTTTTGTAATCCCCTTGTTGCCTTAAGGCCTTCCCATGTGTAAAGCCATTGTTAAGCACTGGTATTTCACCCACCCAGGGTTTCAACCCTTCTGCCCTCTGCTCCAAACTTGACTATGGGTTTCTTGCAGAGGTCTGAGCCTTAATGTGTCTGGATAAAAACAGTAGGAAGAGGTCTTAGCCCTTTACTGTCAGGCCCAGTACAAACCTAATAGACAGCCAAGCCTTGCTTCACATGGTTTGTTTACTATCCTTTTTTTTTGTTGTTGTTAGAAACTTCATAGATATTAAGACAATGTTCATCCATTTTGATTATTTGTCTTGACCTCTTCAGAATAAAGATTACTGGATATATGTACTTAATTTTACTTAAAGTCTTGCCTTTTTTTTCCTCTCTCTCTTTTTTTTTTTTTTTAAATTCTGGAAGCTGATCATGGCAGAAGCAAAATTCTGTCTCATTCAGTCATTTTCCATGCAAAGGAGAGTATTTATTTATTTTAGGAAGACAATTCAATCATAATTATTTTGTATATTAGCACCGTACTTAACACAGTTTGAATTGTGTTTGTTCTTGTTGAGTTAGAACACTAAGAGAGTAGTGCTTGCTGCTAAGAATTCTTATCTTTACACTATATATATAGTTTGACTGATAAATATAACATAGTTATTTAATGTTTAAACACAGGTAGCACACAAAGTAAATTACTTGTCTCTTTTAAAAATAAATAATCATAAACCTGAACTGTATTACTGGCATGCATCCTTTTTAAATAATAAAAATTAACTCAAGTAGTCTGGGTTTGTTTAACATGATGTTGGATGAAGCCCAGCTGGTCTTATGTGGGAAAAGTAATTAGGGAAATAAAAGGACAGATGTGCTAGCAAATGTTCTTTCATCTTAACTCTGTTGGTAAAATAGTATGGCTAAGATTTTTCAAAGACACAGAAGAACAGATTGGTGCCTAATTCGTGTCAGCTTCCCAAATTCTCCAGCTGCCTCAGATGGCCTCCCACTGATGTTTTGAAATGACTGATGCTAAATACATCATGAAAGGTAAATCTGTAGGAGATTAACCAGATTTTACTCTTAATGTTACATCACTAAGTGCTGTAATAAGTGAAAAAAAAGGGTCTCTAGTAGGAAAGAAAGGGGAGAAAAGTAATGTGCAAATTTGTTGAAATTCTTCATGATAGCTGCTTGCATATCTTTTGTGCTGACTCAGGTTTTTCTGTAGGGTAATTTAGTGTCCATTCAATAAGCACCATTTTTGTGTAACATCAATTAATAATGGTAAGTGTGGAACAATTAGCCATTATATTGCTCAGAAACACAAGACAGTTTGGTGCTCAGAAATTATGACTCAAAAAACCAACAGAAAAGTGACTAGCTGACTCCTGCATTCAGATTTGTCTTTCTTTTGATATCTTTCATATTATGAATGGAGTTTCCAGGTGTTGTTTCATGTCATACAACAGTAGATGGTTTCTATAGAGACATTTACTTGCTTATTTCATAGAGAGAGGAGCCATTTGATATTTATGGATCATTGTGCCTTTGGGGAGTTTACCTGTCAGTATTAAAATGTGTCCTGAATTTTATCTGATGTATTTTATATATACATCATAGAGGAACTGAATTTCCTAATTGTAACAAGGTAAGCACATGAATATAGTGCTGTTCTATCTCAATGAATGCTCATTTCAAAGTGTTTCCTAGGGTTATGACACACTAAAATTATAATATCAAAGAACAGGAAAATAACATTTACTATGGGGACTCTACTGGGCTGTTTCAGTACCTTTAATGTTAAATATCTCAGAAAAGTGTTGTATATGCCAATTCCTTTCTGAACGCTTATATTGTCATATTGTTTGGGGTTTTTAAAGTTTTTGATGGTCACATCTGTATTGGAAACAGTGATACTTAAGTCTTAGCAGAGACACCATTCTGTGTGTAGCTACTCATGCTTTAAACCACGCTTCTATAGAATCATTTTAGATCCTGTATGAAAAAAAGCAGAAATTTGAATATCGAGTTTACTGTGGAATGGAGATGAAACTACCTGTTCTTCAGTTGTTCTAGTTTTAGACAATTTCAAGAAAACATAGGTATAATTAGACATTTGAATGTCCATAATTAAAATCTTTTGTGGTGTTTAACCCAGCTTGTGTGAAGTTATAGAAATAATACAGTAGACAGCTGCAAAGGGAGCTTTTTTCCCCCCCCCAATTTCTTCACACATAAAAGCTATTTGCCTGTTTTCTGCCTAGAGAAATGTTAGTTGCATAACAGGTTCATGTTTCTTGTTAGTTCTTTCTTAGAAAAGTAAGTAATTATTATTAAGATCATTCTAGCTGGCTGCCTTCTACTAATGTTCTAAGGATTTTGCTATAAATATCAATTTCTATTATTATTATTCAATGTTGCTTCATGTTATTTTTATTCTGAACAGTTCATCACTGCTTTCTGAGTGAGGGGAAGTGTTAGATAAAGCAGAGTAAAAGTTAAAGATATTAGGTGTCAGTTAAACTTGTGAAAAAGTATTTCAGTCTTTGTTTTTGAAGGGAAGTTGCTACAAGTATTGCTAATGTACAGGGACCTGTAGAGTAGGACATTTAGTTTTAATGTTAACCATCACTTGTGTTTTACTAGCTTTTATTTTTCCTGTATTTTACTGAAATGTATATAATTTAATTAATACTTTTTTCCTAACTACTCTCTGTAGTCATTACCCACTTGTAAGATGTTTTGAAACCTGTAACTCCTTGCCTAGTAGAGATAAGACAGACCTTGGACAGTCTGAAAAACTCCCTGACTACATCCCTGATATCAAGAATCTAAAAACCAAGTGTCTAAGAAGATGCCAGTGTCAAGAGAAGTGACTGGAAGCTGGTCTAAACTAACCTTCTTGGAACAAACAGGAGCTGAAGGATGGATGAGGTAACTTCATGGCCATATATGTACACAAGGAACCTAAAGATCACTAACGGTCAGTGTGAGTAATACTATGTGGACCCCTAAAGAGGGGAGAAGACCCTCACTCTATTTTTACTACGCATGCTCAGACTATATAAATGAATTCTGAGAACCCATTAGCATAAGGCTGCCTTTTCTAGGAAATCTGAGGAATATGTATAGTTTCTGTGTATATTAGTCAGAGTGTTAGTAAGTGTAGCACTTGTGGTGGAACGACCCCCCAGCGCTGTGAATAAATACCTGCTGAACAGTTATACTCAATTCTGACTGTTGAGTAAAGCTCTTTGTTTGGTCAGGCAGCTCACTACTAAATAAATGTTATGAACTGGCAGACACACTTTAGTAAAACTTTCATTACCTGTGGAAAAACTTTTGAACCTTAACAGAATACATACAGAATTCTCTCTGGTAAGTTTAATATACATGGAGTCTTAGTAAAGCCAGAAAATTAAAGATTAAATAATTATTAAAATTGTCAGAGTGGGAGTGTGTGTGTGTGTGTGTGTGAGTGCAAAATCCTTTCTTAATAAGTTATTTGTCTGGTAAGTTGGGCACTTCAAATGGAAAGTTACCCTTGATCCAGAATTTTATCACATTTTTAAAATACTGTAAGTTAGACGTGATTTTGTGGAATAGGTAGTGTTATCAAAAAATATTGACCCTTTGAAAAGTTGCCAGATATTATCCAGGTTTTCTTCACAGCCTTTCCTTTAAACCGTTCCTGACCTTGAACCCCAGAAATCAGAAGTTAGGCCTGTTCAAAGGAAAGGCGTAGGGGAAGAGTCCTGGATATCCATGCAGCGGCATTTTCATTGTTACTCTGCCATTCTTTTTGGTTATGATAAATGCTATCTTATTCGATGAGTATAGTTTATTATTTTTGTGTATTTTTCTGTGTGATATCACAAATAAAAATTTCCCAGCTATATCCACCAGTGCTACTCATCTGACCACTATCAGTCAGCCCTCCAGTGCCACTATGACTGAAACCTTGATGACTCAGTCCACCAAAACCAGCCAGACAAGATCCACAGCTCCATCAGTCATGTCATCATGACTTCTTATTACAGTGATGACCACTTTCAAGATTTCTTTGACTTCTGTAACTCACTTTCTGTGAGTTTACTTTTCAAGAATCTCATAAAGGCAATGTGTTGACATGTACTATTGTAAATTGTTAGTTTTACAGTAGTATAGTGAAGAAGGTATTTGCACGCTGAAAAACAAGAGTAAGGTCGGAGTTTATTATTAAGTTGGCTATAGTAATGTTGCTCTGAGTACTCCACTTCTTACATAAATAATCCTTCACTTAACCTGAGGGAAAAAAAAAAAAAAAAAAAAAGTGAGTGCTCTGAACCAGCAGCCACCAGCAAGGAGTGATGTTAGGAGAAAGCCTGACTTCTGAATACAACTTCTGTATTTGTTCAGCTCTCCCTTCTACACATTACTTGAATTCATCTCTAATACTTCCTTTTTCACAGCTGACCTGTGCCTTAAAATATGCATACTGGTTTGGTAGAAAGACTGAGTTCTGTTAACTACACTTGTAGCAATGTAATGAATTTTATCCCTAATGGATGATAGAGTATGGCTATGACTGAGTCACGCTTTATGTAGAAGTTGTCAAATAGTTTGACAGTACCCTTTAATACAAAGCCAGTAAGTGTAGAATTCAGTATTTCCTTACACTTAGCTGCTTGTTCGCACCATTTCATGCTTATACTTCTAATCAGATAGGGATTGCTCCCATGTCAGTGAAGCATTATTGTGTAGGTAAAGCTGTCACCAGCAAAGCTCTTGGCCATGTAATGCTGCCTGTGATAAGAACAAATAGACATGGGCACAGACTGTGTGTTTTGGTGGGAGTTTGTAGCATATAAAACCAGTTTTCACATGGAAATTGCTATGTCTTATCTGAAGTGATGTTATCTGTGTCAATATTTATGTTGGGCTGCAGAGCTGATCTTATTTGGAGAGTGAGGGTACAATTACATGAGATGAGGTAAAGCAAGCCAAAAGTATTTTACTCCCACCATGTAACTATACTGATTGTCTTGGTGGTTGTTGGGCCCCTCTGCAGGCTGACTAGGTATGTTCAGCTGCCAAAAAACAACCTCCTTTTCAGTTTGGGTTAATTTCAGGCCAGCTTAGTGAGTTAAATTTGTTCATGGAGGGTACAAAACCCACTAGAACTGGCCTAAGAAGGGCAGGAGCTGCATGTGTGAAAAGAGAGGGGAGCAGAGGGAAAAACAGCTATCTTGAGAGGGTTATTTGTAACACAAGTTTGGAACCAGTTCAATACCCACTTTAATAAATAATGTTAAAAGGTGCTTAGAGGCTGGGAATTGCATCACACATCACCTGTATATAGCTATAAAGCTCTGTGGCTGGTTGACTAGAAGGGCAGGCCTGCATTCATTCAAACTCTTTCATTGGAGCATTGCAACAGAATTTCTGCATGCAAAATAATTTAATGGCTAAGGGTTGAATCCTTCTATAGTAGACTGTTGCCAGTGGGAGGTCAGGCTCTGTTACTGAGCTGGTCATTTTCCCCAGACATGTGATAAGGGTTGAGATTTCCTCTCTGACCCTTTATTTCAACTTTTTGAACATCTCAGTTAATTATAAGCTCTTCCTGTGTCAGTAGATCTCCTAATTTCCCATGCAGTGACTAGTGGTAAAGTGTAGAAAAGCTGTTTCACAAACCTATTTCTCCTGGCCAGAAAAAAAAGAGGATGGTCTGTTGGAAGGGCAGAGAGGCTAATTATGTTTGCCTGTTTGCTCAGTACCAGTCTTTTCAGGCCTCTGGAAGAAAAGGCTGTAGAAAAGGTAGTGACACAGAAAATAATTTCCCTGGCAAATTTGTTTATTTACAGTCCATGCATATACCCCATTTGATAAAGAAGAGAAGGGGTTGAGGCTTGGGTATGCTAATTCATCTGTGCTGGAGTGCTGTGAAGCCCTGCCATGCATAGGAGCATTTTTCTTAGGCTTGAGAGCATCAGTGGGTGGACTGGGGGCCTGGCCAGAGTGTCACAACTTTTGCTAACATGGTGCTGTGACCCAGCAGGGAAATCCCTGGCAGAAGGTGCAAGCCAAGGTGGGCCAGGGCCCCAGTCCTGTCTAGAGTGGCACAGCTGTGTCTGCTCCCACTGCCCACAGCTCTGTGGTTTACAGATACAGCTGTTTGCTTCCTGGGGTGAAGCTGTGCATGGCTCAGTGCTAGGGCATGGGAGAGAGAAGCCGTGGACAGTCTCTGTCCATCTGTATAGACATCCTACAGTTTTCCTGTTTAGCTTTCATGGGGCCCAAGTTCCACTGCCAGTTTCTGTTTTTTTTGCTGTAAATTATCATAGGCTTATGATAGAGCTGATAGAAGAGCAGGTAAATTCATTGGTTCTCTTCCTCTAGAGAATTACACAGTTATTATAGGAGTTCAACATTTGTATTTAATCATCAACTTTTGTCTTACTATTTTATATGTATAGTCTCTATTTTGCCTTTTCATAGTCATTCCAGATTAGCAATCATATGTTGGGAAGAAGTGTTAAAGCAAAATTTTGCTAACTTGCATTTTTACATAGAAGTGAGTTTTCTTCTAGATTCCTTTCATATTCAAATCTATCTGGAAGATGTATTTCCAGTAATTACTCTGTGTGAAAGGTAACACAGATGCCTGATGCCAGATGGGAGATGTTTTGTGCTCCAGTAGGTCCTTCACTGTCCAGCTGGTAAAGCTAGGGACACTCCTAAGGGATCAAGTTTAGAACACAGGCATGTTAAGAAAATTCAGGTTTTCTGCAATAGTAAGTTTTAACTTGAGTGTGAGGGCTTAGGTGTACCATTATCATGATAAGGTGTACCATTATCATGATAACATACCTTCTGCTGCAATTCCTGAAATTCTGTCATTTCAGGAATAAAGAAATGTGGATTTTAAACAGTTTCTATGGAAAAATAATTAGTTTAGAAAAATGGAAATTAGTTGTTCTGCTAATTTTAGCATGGAGCCGTCCAGATCTCTAGGGAGAGTACGTGGGGCCAGCATGGAGATGAGGGAATCCTGCCATCACTATACATACATACTTACAGGAAGAAGATGCAGAAGGTGCTCTCAGATCTTCCCAAATCTCTTCTGGGATCTTGAACAAGAGCTGCCAGGCTGCTGGTTGTCTCTGGGCATGCAGCTGTGCAGTACAAGGCCCTTCTGAACCATCCGGGTTGGGCACGATGCACTATGGGTATGTCAGCATTTCCTGGGCTAACTTACATGAGCAGAGGTTTGTGCAAACGTGGGGTGGGTACTGCATCTGGGACTCAGGCTGAATAACACTGAATTCTGCTGTATGAGAATGCCAGTTTATCTGGAGATAGACCCAGTGTTTCTGCCCAGCACAAGTTCAAATGGGGCAGTGTAACCTTTGGTAGGATGCCAAAGAACTAGGGAGGTGTAAATTTTTTTCTTCATAATTACTTTTTCTTGTGTTTGGGTGTTACTGCAGGATGTCTTAGTTTTAACAGATTGGCATTTACCACTGTGAAAGTATTTTGCTAAAATAATAATACTAGAAAGATTTATAGTTGACTCTAATCATATAATTGCATAAGAAAATAAACTTTTCTCCACAAATAAATTAGGAAACAACTTTTGTTGATACATTACCCTGCTTTGTTCATGTATTTGTTCTGTTATTCACTAATTTGATCCCCCTGATCATTAGTGTTAATTAGTAAGGTTTAGCTGTTTCAGAATGTGAGATATTTTAATTATTTATAATTGGTTAACTACTACAGGATATTTTCAACAATACTGAAAATCTTTTATAGAACAATATCAGCACAGTATCACAGAATCCAGCATCCATTTCTTCTTTATGTGCCAAAACACAATGACACAAATTATGCAGGCTTTTTATCACAGATGATGTGCATGGGAGTGGAATTTTTATCTGGCCATTAAGTCATTAAGAAGAGCAGTTTTATTACTTCATCACAGGTGATAGATGGGTTTTGAGACACAGAAGGAAAACAGAAGATAAGCACGACATCTTCTTCCATCTTTCTTTTGGGCTGCTTGGATATTAGCTACTAATCTGTAAGAAGCAAAATTTTATGCTTCCTTTCCCCTCTTCCAGTATGCTCCATTATAGTTTTCAATTGGGTTTTCATTACCTCAGGTGATGAAAAGCAGCTAAGATGAAAATGAAGACTCTTGTTTTACTATTTCTGGTGCTGTAAGCAATTTGGGTGCACAAGGAATACAATTCCAAATTCTGTGCTAATGTAGAAGCACCCCAGTTCTTCAGATTTTAAGTCTCTTTTTCAGCAGGTATGTGAGTGGAAGTTCTTGGATTACCTGTTCAACTTCAGTAACACTGAAAATATTTCCTAAGGGTATTGTAATGTCTGACAAAAATACTTCAGCAGCATCTACTTTTTCACTGTGCTGCTTTTTTTTTTTTTGTTTGTTTGTTTTTTATCTGTTTGTTTATTTGCTGTCCGTGTTACTGCACATCTGCCTATCCATAAATTTTCTTTTAGAACTATGACATTAAAGTTCTCTTGGGACAAAGTACTCTGTTATTATTTCTTTTTTTTTTTTTCTCAGCATTATTGACCTCCACTGCAGATTCCTGGATGGCATGTTTTGATCCTGCTTCAGAAGCATATAATTTTATATCAACTGAGAATCTACTCTAGGATTGCATGTTTTCAAGAGGGCGAGTGGCTCCATAGGGAATGCTACACCTGGGTTAGAGCCTTGTCTTTAACCTCATAGTCCTATAAATCTTCAGAGATTTCTTTTGTGCTTAAAGGGTGTAGTCATCTGTTGCAGATTTGAATAGGATCAGACCATTGCACAGAAACCTCAGTCAACCATTTTGAAATGTTCATATTTTTCCTACAGATTATCTAGTCCTCTCTTTTCACTATTGAATTTTGTGGTTTGTTTTTTTGGT